TTGAGCAATATGGCACTGAGTTTGAGGTAAATTAGGTTGCCTGTAAGAAATTTTGTACATAATGGTGTGGGATTGAAAATGCCAAGGATGTATTGGGGAACCTAGGTAATTATCTTCACATGGCTTTGTTTGTGGATTTTAGCCATTAATTTAATCAGTTATAGATGAGGTTTCTGTATCTTTTTTATGGTTTCTGCTTCTCTTTCAGCATTTCTTTTTGGTTGAAACTTATGGTCGTTCCGCGTTACTTTTGTGTTGTTTTATTTTCTTTGTATGATTTTGTTAAAACCGGTTTCATGATGTTTCCGGAACTATGTTAATCTTGTATAGTTCAGTTTCACGTCGCTTCAATTTCATCTGTTCTATATTTACACACTAAATGCAGAAGTACATAGTTCCTGGAAAGGTTTCGATATTTTATGTGGGTAGTTATAAATTCAGATGCATATGTGCATGCCCAAAGACAACTGCCGGTATTTTTCAATTTTCATTTGAATTTCTTTCATATCCACTTTTTCTTGGTTAATTTGGTAAAAACATTATCCATAGTTAATATGCTCTTTAGCTTACTCTTGTCCCTTGTTAACTATTGATGTAGCCGTTAGCCAACTCAGTCGGACTGTTTATTGCGAGCACCGTTGAATTTGGTGCAAGTATTATTCCTGAATTCAACTCATTTTGCGCATTGAATCACGGAGTTAATCTTATTGTATAGTCTTTATTATCCTTGTTATAGTATATCACGAGCATTTGGGCATCTTACTGAAATTTTGCATTCTCACTCTCTCTCTCTCTCCCCTCTCTCCCTCCCTCCCTCCCTCTTTTTTAAATGACTACTGTAGAGATGCCGACTTCATCTCATTTATCATTTCTCTTGATATTACAACTTGTTTCTATGTTAAGTTCATGTTAGCAAATACAAAATTGATCTGGGGTTCAGTATGTATACTTACAAAGACTCTTTATCGAACCAACTTGAGCTGATAATAGTGGTTAATCGTCAAAGGTTCCTGTGGATTTTGAGCGTTTAGGTTATCAGTTTCACTGATGTATTTTGTCGCATTTTCACAGCTCAAGTGTGGGAATTGTGGAGAAGTAACCCAAAAAGAGACATGCGTTACCTTGAATGAAACAGTTCCTTCTACAAAAGGAAAGAGTGACACTCATCTTGCTCAGAAGGTTGGGCTTCATCTTCCTTTCTGATAAAATCTACCATTTTAGAACTTCGTTTAACCAATCGGTCTTTGTCTACTCCTCTAACTGTAATTGGTGCATATGCGTTTATTGAATTAGATCAAATTTCTCGAATTCATAAAATCCCGTAAGTATCCATTAAACACTGAAATTTATTCTTCTGGTAGAAATGACCTTTTTAATGGTAATAAATATACTGTCAGTTTCTTGATGCCAATGTTAATTAGTGTCACAATTGATCAGTTTTGGTGTTTCAGCTACCGCCAAGCCTGTAAGATATATAATCAACTATTAGATAAATATTAGAATTGTAAGATATATAATCAACTATTAGATAAATATAATTTCTAACTCTCTCTTTATATTTGCAGTGTAAGTTTTGTTCTAGGGAAGGAAATGTATCTATGATTGCTGGCCGAGGCCATCCTCTTACTCAGGAACATGCTGAAACTGGTGAATTTGCCCCTCTGATGATGTTTGATTGCAGAGGTTACGAGCCTGTGGATTTTGCATTCGGCAGTGGATGGAAAGTTAAGTCGGTAAGTCTTTGAATTTTATTTGCACTTAGTTTTTCCTTTTGTATATTTTTAATTTACCGTGGATTAAATTATTTTCTGAATTACATCATCGCCATGCTTAGAGATCCTTAATAAATCAATGCATATATTACACAAAAAATGGTTTTGAGTTGTCAAGATGTTCATAAGTTGAGCTGTAATCATGTTGATTATTCCAGAAGTAGGAAACTGGCTGATCTCTAAATACCTCGCCCGATAACTCGTAACCATGGCCAATTAAGTTACATGTGCAAAATAATTACAAAGACAACTATTGCTATCATATAAATTGATGCTTTAAGATCGGGAGCTTTTAGCTGATGCTTGAGTATTTGTCTGCGTATCGAAAATGCAAGCGAATGCCTACTTTAAAATCTATGTTATATAAACACAAGCATCTCCATTCTATTTCTTTGTACTTAATATTATCTTGCCATAACAACATTTTTTTCCGTAGATTGAAGGAACAGCGTTCAATGACATTGACTTATCGGTAGGGGAGTTTGCTGAATACGACGAGAAGGGAGAATGCCCCGTCATGATCTCCAATCTCCGTGCTAAATTCGATGTGGTGAAGTAGCTCGTAAAACATTACAATCTCATGCATTAAAAAAGTGAGGGTAATTTATAAACTAACCGCCTCTTCGTAATAAGTCGTTTTATAAAACTGATGAATATTCCCCCCCTTGGTGTTTGGTGTATGTTGACTTGAGAATAACTGCATGTTGGTATTGCATTACCTTGTCAGTTGTCACATACATTATACAGTTTGAAGCTTAAATTAATATCTTAGTAATTGTCAAAGCATCACAGCTGTATCTGGATTATTCTAGATGCTCAGTTTCCTCTACAGTTTTGCATATAATATGATCTTTAGCTATTTTAATATAGCACGACTTAGAAAAAACATGGCCTTATAGTAGCACGACTTTAAATTTATGGTTATAGTTCACCATAATTTTGCTGCAACGTACCTACCTCGACCGGAGTAAAAAATCCCACTTTGATTATTTATTTAAAGAAATAAAATTCATAATTCCATGATACTGTATGTAGATGTAGATGATTATTTTTTTTTTTTCTTTGGTAAAAATTGAAGAAAATAATTAATATCACATATCTACCAAAATTTTACAAATTCAGTGGAGCTTTTTCAGCAAAGTGACATTGTGTTAATTGTTTATTATTGAAGAAAACAATAAAATTGGCCATTTTGTGGTAAATCCAATACCGGACAGCTACAAATTGGGATTAACAATATTGATTAGCTTACATTAATGACACCTTAATCACCATTTTCCCCTCCAAAATCTAGGATAGTCGATAGGATGTCGTTTTATTATGTCCCAAATATAATAAAAGGGAAAGAGCCCAACAAATAAAATCGCCACCAAACCCCCACCCCACCCCCACACCACCCCCACTTCCCAATTTCTCATAAGCATGTGATTGTGATATTATTACACATTCTTAAAAAACATAAGACAAAGCACATTACATTCCTCAATTCCTCGCACCACTTTTCCTCTCTCCTTTCCGTTCCCTCCTAGATCTTTTCACCACCTCTTCTCGTGCGTTGTTTCCTTCTCTCTCTCTCTCTCTCCTCTCTTTCTCTCTCTATAATTTGTATCAGTTCCTTTTTCTCGTAGAAGAGTGTGTTGAAGGTTCTTTGATTTTGCGGATGGTATTACAGTAATTTTTCCTTTTTTCCGTCTGTCTATATATGGCGTGACTTTTAGCAAACCCCACAAAAACAGCACATTTTCCAATTCCAGTTCTTCGTCTGTTAATTCGCTAAACCCTTCAATTCAGCAATTTCATTCCTTCCTTCCTTTTTTTTTTTTAATTACTGCAAGGTATTTCAATTCATGGTTTGATCCAAATTTATTTCAAACCTCGACGGTTACTCGTTATTTCACCTCAATTCTCTGCGAATTCGCCCCCTTTTTCCTTCGTTTCTCTTTACTCTACTTGGGTAAAGTAGATTAAAGAGGCGCCGATGTATAAATTCTGATCATATAGTAATTCAGCAATTAATTGGGGAATTTGCTATTCAGAGTGATGTCGTCATTTTTCTAGAGATTTTCGAGTTTTTTTTTTTTTTTTTGAGGAACTATTGGTATAAAAGTGTTGTACTTTATGCAAAACAAGGTTGTACATATGGAAGAAGGTAAAGATCCCATAGCTGCAAACAGGGCAGGTCAAACCAGGGTTTTGCCCCAAAGGCTGCTACATTTGATTGTATTTTTTCTCGCACTATGCCTCACTTTCTCCGTTGTTAGTATTTACATGATTAGGTATTTTGGTGTTAATAGTTTTGTCACATCTGTAACACCTACTTTACTCTCCTGCAATAAAGAATTGAATACATTAGAACAATGGATTAGTCCACCGTCTAATTTGATGCACGGAATGAGCGACGAGGAGTTGTTCTGGAGGGCGTCTTTCGTGCCCCGTTTGAAGAAGTATCCGTTTAAGAGGGTCCCGAAAGTTGCGTTCATGTTCTTGACAAAGGGGCCTTTGCCATTGGCACCTCTTTGGGAGAGGTTCTTCAAGGGGCATAGTGGGTATTATTCGATCTATATCCACTCCTTGCCTTCGTTCGAGGCTAATTTCCCATCCTCGTCTGTGTTTTACAAGAGGCAGATACCTAGTCAGGTATTGTTTTTTTTTTGTTTTCTTTGTGACGCCTTATTTGCTCGAGCTGTGTGAATTAGTTAAATTGTATGAGTTGAGTACATTTATTAGAAATTTCACTTTCTTGAAAAAATTCGTAGCTCGTTGAAGTAAATATTTTGATGGTAATTTTCCATGTGATTATATGATTTACGGGGTTGGGGTATCTGGTAATTGAATTTGTATCAAT